TTTTTTTAAAGCGGCCTTTTTGTCACAATAAAATATACATATGCATCCATATCTTTATGTATTAGCATCTTAAAGTTTTTATTTTGAATAACTTCTAATTTTTATATTTTCTGTCACATGAGAATTTAAAATAGAATAAACGTTGCTAGAAAAGTCTTTAAAACTTTGGAATTAGGTTACTGTACAATTCGATTACTAAATTATTTATAAGCGTCTGTAAGGCTAAAAACTTCTCGTTAATAAAATTTAATACGTTTTGTCGAGATGAGACACAACTTTACCAAAATAATCACTTCTAATAAATGATCTCTATGAAAACAACGAAAAACTTAAGTAATTGAGTGCAATTTTCCTAAATTTTCTAGAATAGATTAAATTAGAAGAGAAGGGATAATTGTTTTTTGTTAAAGAAATTCCAACTACAATTGCAAACAGGAAAATAATAGAGAAGAGGATGTACAAGAAACACTAAATGGAGTTGGAAACTAGAAATAGCTCATTAAAGACTTTAATAGGGAACACAATGTCATTCTCCTCTAGCTACTTTGCCTTAATACCAGAGATCCTATTATCTTAAGCAACATCCCTAAGTAAGGTCTTCAGGAACAACGAGACGGTGCAACGTAAAGGGCGACTAAATATTTTTCAAAAGTCGTGTCTGTAGGTAAACGATTTAGAATAAACAGAACTTGGAACGTCTGTTTTTATTACTGTGCCTTGGAGATAAAGGACACCATGTCCAAATTTTTACTATATATAGTAAGGGACAGTATTGCGATCGTGAAAATTTTCGAATCTGAGTTTTCAACGGAAATACATGTCTTGAGGTCTCCTGAGTCCAAAAAACCAAGCCACGCAAAATGCTCTGTGTGTATGTTTGTATCAAATCGGCTAACCGGAAGTGGAACTTTATATAATCAATGTTACACATTTTTACGATTTTCCCCAAAACAGCTCTGACGATTTTGATCAAACTCGGTAAATCAGTGTATTGTTAAGTTATTTTTAATATCAGCTAGGTGTTATCCTATCCACATTTATGTCACTTTACAGAGTTTAAATGCTTAATATTCATATATGCCTTTCTCTAAAGTACGTTTAATTTTTTTTTTTTTAATAACTGTCTCTCGTTGTTAGGAATTATGAAAAATGGCTAAATATGACTTTCGAAAGGATTTGATAATTGGATAAAAATGAAAAATGTTAATCCCATTCGAAAATGAATCTTCGGAAATAATAGTCAGAAGGTATACGTATAATATATCGCTGATAAGCGGAAAATTGAAAAGCGGAGGGTAAAAAATAAAATATAAATAATAATATCTGAAAACTAACATTATTTAACGTAAATCACATGTTTCCAAGAAAATTAAATGATATTTTCTTACTTAAATGTATACTTCTAAAAAAAATTTAAGTTTGAAAAAAGTAATTAAATTCCATCGAATCAGGACAATGGCATTGTTTAAAATACTGTTTCATTGTACTTATGCAGTAAGCTTTTTTAGTCTAGCAATTTTTTTATGATCATCTTACTCGCTGCAATGTAATGATCAGTTACATTAATGCACATCACGCAATTCGCCGTTGTACAAGAAACTAAATTCTCCAGTTAACCAATTCTTATTAATAAGCATTGACCCATCGTACATCATCCCTCAATCAAGCGACTATGTTTCGCAATCATAAAGGACCATATGTAGAATAATGGTTTTTGTAAATTCTATGTTTCAAAGGAAAAGATCATTATTTAATCAATCCAAAAAAAATTTTAAAACCGTGGTTCGCATATATCGAAATATTTTTTGAAAGAAGTGAGGTGACAAAGGAGGAAATATATCGAGATGTCGGCACTCAATATTACTAAAACAATAAAAGAGAAAGATAGAAAAAGACACAAGCCAATTAAAAAATGCATAAGAAAAACAAAATTACGGTTTTAATAATTGAATAAATATAAATATCTAGCAATAAGATATTGTTTAAAATATTAATATAAAAAAATTGATATTTAAAAAAATCCTATTTTTCAAGTTTCAGGACAAGAGGCGCGAGTAACAGTACTACTAATATATATATATATATATATATATATATATATATATATATATATATATATATATATATATATATATATATATATTATTGCTTACATATGCATATGATTTCATCCTTTCTTTCTGTAATATTTGAAAAACTTTATAAAAAATAAATATTATTGAAGCGCAATTTACAATCATGACAATATAACGTGGTTCGTCAAGTAAGTTCTCAACCTTTTCCTGCCGATATATCAAAGAATTTCCTAACGACAGAGAAGAAACAAATTGAGAAACAGTAAAATGAAAAGGCATACAATAAACCTTTAGAACATGGACATCCCACTGAAGAGACAAGCATACATTTGATTTAAGCAGTGTGGTAGAAGATATAAAATTACTGTAACTGACTGGAAACGGAGAGAAGCGAAGTTACACAGATTCACGCTGACAGACAACAGTTGTATAAGCGACAGTCGGGAAATAACAGGCCTATGACTAAGTAATATACGACTGTCTACTGGAGAGAGATACAAACCCTTTATGGCTCTTATGTACAAAGGTTGTCATTCACTGTAAATCATTTACAGATGATCATTACCTGGAATAGCCAACGGGCAACATCGATGGCAGACAAACATACCCATGATATTCAATACACTGCAGGAGGTAGATATCCAATGTATCCATGACAAGTCAAACAGATATCTACTTTAAAATACTTAGCACAGTTTGATACTTGATTTAACATCGAATACATTTCCATTTTATTTTTTAATGTTCTGAATTTAAAAAGAAAAATCGATTCTAAATGCTTTCAACTTATCTTTACTGTTGCGAAACGAGGCCACTAACATTGAAAAAAGAGCAATGCATAAACGAAGGTTTTTAAGAGAATAATTAACCATCAAGCTAACTACAAAATATTAGGGATGAATAGAATTTTTAATGTGGAATAAAAATATCTTATAAAGCCACTATGTAACTTTTGAAGCTTAATTAAATTATTTTAGAAAACCAAAAATAAGACATTTAATATGATAAATTCCATTTACAGTATGGTGCTTTTTAAATTTATATATTGGGATTTATCAATTCCTGATAACCCTCAGAGGCGTCTCAAAAGAAGATGGCTCCGTGATCTCCTAATGTAAACATAGTGGGTAGTTTCTCAACATTATATCCATGTACGAATTTACTAAATGTAGTTTTTCTTTTTTTTATACAGTATTATTATTGTAAATATAATTAAGTATACAAAAAGTTGAAATACTACCTCATTAATTCAATTTAATTTATGACACTCCGAAATTAAATTATTCTAGTAATAGACAGGGGGTCGGTATCAGTAACAGACATACCTCAGACAAATTCTAAAATGTGTTTTCACTATATAGATAACGATATATATATATATATATATATATATATATTATATATATATATATATATATATATATATATATATATATATATATATATATATATATATATAAGTTAACATAAATGTTTAACTTATTCTTAGCAAAAGTTTTAGTAGGGAGGTATGAAACACACTGACCTTAAGAGTACTATAGAAACAACAATATTAGAAATGGGCATTTTAAATTTTTCTATGAGGAACTTCATTTGTTCATACAGTTGTTAATAGAGGACATGTTTCTCAATCTAGAAAAAACTGGAACCTTTAAATCAACAAGGAAGCTAATTATTATCATTTAAAGTTCAACCTGTCCACAACCGGTTCGCCCTAAATCATTTGTACAATTTTTCAATAAATAAGTTATCTAACAATAAGTAAAAAATAAGGGAATATTTAATTATAAGAAATTAAATATTTATCTCAGCTCGCTTGTGAATCTATAGATCACAAGTGAATCTATAGGTCACTTAGCTATAAATGAAACCAGCAGAAAAAAAGTCCATATTTCCTTAATTGAGCTGCCATCGGGCGACATCATGTGTTACTAAACGCTCGTAGTATCTTGTGAAGCTGATTTGTGATTTATAGCAATATTTTTAAACTGTCACTCATGTTCCAGACCCTAAATCAACTTAAAATTAATAATGAATACTTAATATAAAAAAAACAGAGCTTTATTAGTTAATATACTTGACTTTTTTTTTCATTATTCCCCACTTCTTCTCCGCAATCTTGGCTATAGATCGAAACAAAAATTTAAAAACTTTGTAGATCAGGATTTTCACCAATGACAGTCTCTCTATAAATATATAATATTTTAATTTACTTAAATTTTACTCTAATTTAATTTAAGGTATAAAATAATGAGGTAAAAAAAAAAAGCGGATACTTGGAGTATGCGTACATGAGTACTTATTGTACTAACACATGGAGCAGAAAGACCAATAAAGAGCTGCTTACAGGAAATGACCAATCAATATCTCATGATATGAAGGCGCGGAGGTTAAGATCATTTCATTTAGTATATCGCTTAACCTGGATAACAATAACGCTGATATACAATTTCGGAAATATGTTTTATCACGGTAAATTGTCAGAAAGACGTATTTAATAGAATAACAGCCATAACACAATATAAACGAAATTGTAATACATTTTTTTTCCTCTCACATGAAATGGACGCAGTTACGTCATTGTCCACCAAGTCACTGTTAGATAAAATATAGGAATTACTAAGACTATTCATGGTTATTGGACATAGTTATGATAGGAACGTAACCAAAATCTCCCAATATAAACAGTGGCCAGAAATATTTGGGATGTCTTTGGCCGGTCGCCTGCAGTTTGTTGTGCGTTCCTCTTTTTGTGGGAAGCATGGTGTAGCATCATGAAGCTGGGCTCCCCAATGCGCTACGGACAAATCCGGGGGCCTTCCTTCGATACTAAAAAATAAGTATATATTTATGTAAAGGAAAAAAATAAAATAAAAATAAAGTGTTTACACAACGACAGGAGGAGGTTAACCGCCTTATTACCGGATGACTGTTTACCAAACGGATCTATTTATGGTGGCAGGGTGGATAATATCCTGCCGTCAGCGAGAAGGTAAACAGCGTTCATTACCGCGCCGTTCGGAGCTGAAGCAAAAAATAGAACGCTCTCAGTGGTTGAGCCATTTACCGCTAGAGGGCTCCATCATTTTCCAACTCCCATTTCGAAATTAATATCCTCAATATCCAGCTCTAACAAACACAATAACTCCTTGTGTGACAATCCTTGTGCAATTAACTGCTGCAGGTTCTGTTCTACGGAAAATTCATATTTTGAGTTTATCATCATTTAACATTAAGTAATATTAAATATTTTGATTACGGTTCTCTTTATTTGCTAAAAATATCTGTTTAAAAAAGTATTTAAACTAGTAACAGACAATAGTGGATAAAACGGATGCTCACAGGAGATTTGGAGAATGCAAAGTTGTCCTTTATCTTTCACTAATTTAGTTTCAGCTCACCCTTCAGTTGTACCTAGAGTTACTAATATTCATATTATAGTCATGAACTACAGGAAAGAACTGTTTATATCCTAATTAAGGTGTCCAAACTGCGGCCCGAGAATCTAAGATTACATAACAACATTTTAAAAAATAGGAATCCTATAATTAAACTGCAGCTTCTGTTTTATGAGTTTATTCTCTTAAAAAGCTCATTTTACAATTGAAGTGTCATTTATAGAATAAGATTTTTTTTTTCGCACAAGCTGTCAAATAGTGTGGAAATCTGGCTTACAGAAACTGTTCAGTTTATATCTCACGATATGAAGGCAAGATACTGATAAATGCAGCTCAAAACAATCCAATATGCGGACTGTGCAGGAGTCCTAAAACCAAATGGTACATAGAGTCAACAAAGATATTACAAACACCAAACATCAGACTGCAAAGCAGTAGTCCGAGACAGGCAGAAGTGTGGAAGGCAACCAAATATCTACAAGGTCTATAAAACCAGCAGAAAAAAAATCCTGATTTCCTTAGTGAGCTACCGTCGGGCGAAGTCATATGTTACTAAACGCCCGTACCATCTTGTGAAGCTGATTTGTGACTTATGGCAATATTTCTAAACTGTCACTCAGCTTACATAAGACCCTAAATCAACTTCATTCATAATGAATACTTAATATAAAAAACAGATCTTTATTAGTTAATATACTTGACATTTTTTTCATTATTCCCGGCTTCTTCTTCACAATCTTGGCTAAAGATCGAAACAAAAATTTAAAAACTTAAAAAGATCAGGATTTTTACCAATGACAGTCTCCCTATAAATGTAGCATTAAAATATAACATTTTAATTTACCTTAATTGTACTCTAATTTAATTTAAGATCTAAAACAATAATGTAAAAAAACGCGTATACTTATAAAAAATGTATGCGTACATGATTACTTATTGTACTAACACATGGAACAGAAAGACCAATAAAGAGTTGCTTAAAGAAACTGGTCAATCAATATCTCATGATATGAAGGCGCGGAGGTTAAGATGTTGCTCGGAGAAGCCATCTGGAAGCCTCTATCAGAAGGCAAAATACGTAGAAGGAAGGCCAAAACGCATTTGGATAAATCCAATCAACAAAGATGCAGTACAACTACAGGCAGATAACTGGATAAGACTAGTCCAAGATAGGCAAAGATGGAGCAGGCTCGTTAACGCGGCAATACATCTACTAGGTCTGTAATGCCAAAAATAGAAAATAAATAAATAAAGTATTTTATGTATGTCATTCCTATCACTCCCCCTCTCCTCCTCCTCTCCCCCAATATTTCTTGAATGCCATTGCCAATGTGCAAAGCGCTTATTTACTTTCCTTGGTTTAAGGAATTTTCAAGCTCTTGATGTTCATTGTTTAATTATTTTTATCTTTTCTTTTATCCTAGGCGTTTTTATTAATTAATTTGTATTGGATTAACCAATAATAAAAAAAAACAAATTTCTACTCTCCTAAAAATATTTCTTACTTTCCTTCCTACAATGTTCCTATTTAATCATAAATGTGCATAATATCATATATAGATATATCATTAAATCAAATTATATTCCAAACGTAAATCCTAGCAAAAGAAAAAGTTCAAACTATTTTAACAAGTGATTTACTACATGAGATAAAACTAAATATTAAAATAAAATTTTAGCTTCAGTATTAAAATTAATATATTTAATATAATGATGGAATTCTTGTATTTTTCTCATAATTTGTAATGTTTAGTTTGCAAGCAGTATAACTCGTTTCTAATTGGATGTTAACTTATTTCACACCTACCTTAACTTTGACGACTATAGTACTACACAAGTATCATATTGCTTCCTGACTACCGAAGGTACCGAAGCATTAATTTTTTTTTTTTTTTTAGATTTTGAATATAAACGAGCCCTCTCTAAGGAAAAGGTGTATTCAGTTCGAAAGGCGGTTCAACAAATCATATAAAATAAAATTAGGTAGTTTTGTAAACAGAATTCATTCCGCTCATTTTGAGTCAGCTAATCGGAACACCGATAAGAGGTGGAGAATTAAGAGTTAAAGAAGAAATAAATCGAAAGACAGAAGAGCTGGATTGGGAACACCATTATTTTTTATATATTGAGTACATGGGAGAGCTAACTGAGCCATGTAGACTCCTACGCCGCGATCTAATCTAGCATCGCTCAGCTCATGGATCTTATCGCGTCTCCCCGCTCGCAACTTCTGAATTGTGAGCTGAATTATACAGCGCTTTGTTTCAGGCCAATAAGCACCTGTTGTTTTCATAGTAGTAACAATACTTAAATAGTTATAAAATAAAGGATATAAAGTACAACATAGAAATGTAAAAAAAGTAAGAAATATTTTTAGTTATTATATAATGTTAAAAAGTAGGAAATTTGGTTTATTTTATTACTTGTGCATACAATGATAAAAACAATGAAAGTTTAGAGCTTGAAAATTCCTTAAACTAGAGAATCAGGAACAAAAGGCCCTTCTTTATAGCAACGGAATTTATAAAATATTGGGAGCGGGATGGAGGAGGGATAACTGGTAAGATTGAGTTATTTTAAAATAGCCCATTCATCAGTTTATTACTTCTTTTTTTTTTTTTAGCATTACATACCTTGAAGATCTTTTGCCGCCTTAACAAGCCAACTTTTTGCCTTTCTACGTGGTCTTTTACCTTCTATTAAGGCATTCATTGTGATGTAGAAGCTTTCAAATGGTCATCAGGCTCATGTTAACCTACGTTCCTTCATATCGTGAGATATTGATTAACCAGTTGCTGTATACAGCAATTATTATTGGTATTTCTTTTACCTGTGTTAGTGAATAGTAACACATGTAAAAGAAATACAGAATCAGAATTGATCCCAGTTCGCTACGGTTATCATGAGGAGGATTTTGGCACCCGTGACTGTCTTCACCCATATAAAAACATTTTAAAAATTCGAATGACTTTATCACCAATAAATCTTGGTAATTTATAGACATCAGCAGCTGCACATACGAAAGGAGAGCAGAAAAATGACTAACTGAATAGTACTGATTTTGTGGAGGTAGTTGGACATACAGACAAGAGAGGTGAAAATAAAAGTCATTCGAAATCAGGGCAGCCATTCAACGGATTTGGGATTAGCTATGTGAGGCATATCAAAACCGGAACAGATTCAATCTCGACTTGATATTCATGGCGTCATGAGCTATTCATGTATCAATAGCCTGGAAAATAAATGGAATGTATTCAATGCACTTTGCCTGTCGAGAGCCTTTTAGAAGAACACGTTTTATTTACGACATCTCAACAAGTCCTATAAATATCCATATTCAACAAGCCATGGCTTCATATTCCTTGAAAGGGACTAGACTTATCGAAGCGGTGGCACTTATTGTGTTAGTAGATTTATAATATATGAGGGGTGGGTTCTAGACTCTTAACTATGCAGTCATGAATTGTCTATTCATTTATATTATTCTAAGATCAACTATATGATCGAGACAGCCTCTTGGGGCACACCGAAAAAAAATTTCGTTCGTTAAGAGATAAAATTATTGTTTAGCTTAGGTGCTGGTCAAATTGTCCCTCGTATAACCGTTGGTCAAGAGACACTACTTCCTTAACAGATACCGAATCCAAAACCTTTCCAGTGTTGTTGTGGTCAAGGATTTATAGAACTGTCTAAGGTCAGACATACGTGATTCTTTGGAAACCTTCAACACAAGATACAAAAAAAAAAAAAAATAACAATTTATAAACATTATAGTAATATGCTTACTTTGGATAACAAGGATGCAATCCTAAGAGATCATAAGTAACAAGGGGTGATGAATAAAACTAATAACAAACTAGAAAACCCATCCACTACCAAGCCATATCTCGACGTCCATCCGTCCAACAATTATCGATCGACATCAAGTCAAATCATCTATCCATTTTCACCAACCCCGTTCAGAGCCTTTATTAAATAACGACGAAGCACAGGAGCGCATCATTAGACTTATCTATTCTTATCTGATTCTACACCTCTCGGAATACCATTCTAGCATTAATCCATCGCTACAATACCCTTCCCTATTTGAAACACCGCCAATTCAAATATTTCATATTCATCCAGTTCTCATAAAGATAAGTGTCTTACTTTCTCAAGTTCGTAATTTATACATATGTGTTTACTTTATTAGTTTATAATTCCCAGAAAGAAATATATTTTTTTAATATTCATTGACTATAACACTCCAAACACAACTTTAAACACGTGACAGTGGCACGTAATTGAGTGGAAACAACCATTTCCTGCTGGGAAGTTATTTCGTATGAAACCGGAATCACCGGAAGGCGTTAAAGCAATCTACATTTGAAAATACTACAGGGTATAAAAGGCCAAAACAAACAACCATCGATCATCTGTGCGTTTATATATATCGTCGCTTTAGACGGATCCTGACAACTCATTTTTCATGTTTCTGAAATGCCGGAATACGCCAAAGGAATTGGATTTCGTCTTAAATCGTATAACTAAGATTAATTATCAATTCTGTGTTAAATCAAATCTATTTCAGTAAAAGTTTAGTATTAAGGAATCACTGAAATGATTTTTTTAAAGACGAAATGGCATTAATATAGTCAAAATAATGAATCAAAATCAAGCAGTTAAAAATATTAAAATACAAATAAAATAGACAAAAAAAACCTTGAAGTGAATATTTGTAGAGCATCAAGAACAATATCAACTTCGAAGCAACAATGCATGTCTTAGAAAGTGTATTTCAATTCTTATATGCAATTACATGGTACACCCTTAAGCAGTTAAAAATACACTTATATATATATATATATATATATATATATATATTTTTTTTTTTTTTTTTTTTTTTTTTTTTTTTTTGTTACGACTTCAGTAGTAATAATATTATAGTAGTAGTAACGATAAGAACACTTTTTTTTTTAACTTTTTAGTCTATAAGTCATTTTCAAGAGAAGAAACCTATTTAAAAATTAAATTAAATTTGTATGGGCTCTTGCCATAATAACAGTATTTCGTTACCAAAAACTTTAAAATAGAGAGATACCCATAAACCTCAAAATAAGCGAATATAAGGCATTATTTAGTACTGTTGTCGTGTATTTTATTGAGGCCTGAGCCCTAACCAAGCAGCAAGAGATAGCTGAGTACACGGGAGAGAAAAATTCAGAGCAGAAATATAAGAAAAATGAGTTTTCATTTCTTATTGCTATTATTTATTGTCTTTCAGGATTAAGACATTTTTTCTATCCATTAATGAATTTTATTGTATTACTTTTTAGAACTGAATATTTTCTTACTAATCTTCACTTTTTGAAAATATTTATGATAATTTGATGTTTTTAAGCCAGAAATAATCTTTATTTTCTGAACATATTGGTCACTATTAAGAGGCATTGCCCTCGACTTAAGATTTTCTTCTATTCTTATATTTATAATTTTTTTTAAATCAATATTGAATAAAATACTCTTTATCAAATGCAATGCTGATGTACTGAGAAATATATCTCAAAGTTTGTAGGAATAAAATGGACGGCTACTCACGACGACGCAGCCCACACACACTCAAACGAAGACGGTATGTTTATACAGGTTCTGTTGATCGTCCGAGTCAGGACAAGTTACTGCCCTGAAGAAGATGAAGGAGGATCATTGAAGATGAAGATAAGAACAGAACGCGAAGGGCACCTGATCCTTATCGGACCCCTTTGACGGGGGTCAGTCGGTGGCTGTGGTGTGGTGGCCAAGCTCCCGTTACATTTGCATTCTTGTGATTTCTTCACTCCTCATTATTCCTCAACATCCTCTTCAGCAGGACAATTGCCTTTTCTCCTTTGATAAAGAATCCGTGATATATGTATTAAAAAACGAGTCGAAAAAAAAGGTAAATTGTGCAAACTTGAGAATTCATAAAATTGGTATCATCAGAATTCGGAATCTACTTGAAATCTAGCGAAGGTTATTAGTATTCTTCAGTCGAAAAATAACAAAGCAACTTACTTAAACTCTAAATAAAAAATATCAAGTGTGTCCATTCCCATACTTTCATAACCATTCAAGGATCATTACATTGAATACCAAATAACAGGTGGAGCTTTAATAACCCAAGTTAGATAAGATATCGGATTATCTGAAATAAATCTTAGAAGAAAACTACATCAACAAATATTTCGGTGTGTATATAAAATGTGTAAACATAAATGAATTTTAATTCTTTTATATAAAAACTAATCCTTATTTTCCCCTCTTCGAATTTTACATTTCTCTATTCCATTGAAATTATATATATATATATATATATATATATACACATATATATAAATATAAACTAATAATAATTAAAGACAATCCTCCCAAACCCAATCCCACCAGATTAAAGCAATCTTCCCAACTTCACTTCGGTGAATCCTCTGACGTTTACCAGTCGGCATAGCGCATATTTTCATATAACGAAGAAAGTATACGTGGTTAAGCCATAACATTATGTATGCAACACAGTAAACATGGTTCATATGTATAACGATAATATAATTGTCAACTAAAGTAGTTACAAAATACCATTACTTCTCGGCCTAAATTATGACAGATCCTATTCTTTGACAATAAAACTAACATATTACATTTCTTACGCTCATAGAACGGCTAGTGTGAGATAGAAAAAGAAAGAAATACCAAGAATGAGAAGAAAAGATAGAGCAGTCCAAACTCTGGCTGGAAAGAACTTAGATAGAATATGTATATATATATATATATATATATATATATATATATATATATATATATATATATATATATATATATTAAAATCTGCTTAGCGAGTTTAGAGAAGTTGATACTCTCTCTTTTTTTTATTTTAGAAAAAAAAAAGCTTAAAGATTTTAGTGGAATTCATACTCTTGTTATTATTTTTCTTTTAGAGAAAAGTCAGCTTAGAGAATATATTGGAGTTCATACATAAACATCGGTAATCAAACTAAACCGCAAAATTGATAATAAATTGTATACCTAAATTTAAAGCTGTTAAGGGCATAAGAATGGTAGGCATTGAAAAATATTCATAAGAAAAATACATAGGAGAAAGTTGTTTTCGGGGGTGGGCTCAAAAATGAAATGAAGGCCGCTGGATACGATAAATTATTAATCTTGATTTTACGGGCGGGTCCCATGAAATCCTACACGGTTGCATTATACATGAGATGGGTCATGAGCTCCAGTTGCTAATTTTCTGGAATGGTTTTAGCCTTCCATATCAACTGCTCATACATCATTGTATTAACTACAAACAGATTTATGGGAGTCATGTTTAGGTTGTTTCAGGTAAACATAAAAAAAAGTGAAATATTTAATTATATTAATTAATAAATGAAAATTACTAAACAAATAAGTAGAAACTAATATTTTATAAAATACTCCGTAAAATTGTCAATGCTCCTTGGTTTATTTCAAATCACACCGTACACAAAGACATGAACATACCAAAAGTAAAATCCTACATACACATTTCACACTTCTATTTACTCTCAATCATCCAAATCCTCTCGTTCTATCTCTATCTTCCTCCCTGTTACCTGGTGAGCCTCAAAGACGACTAAAAAGGCAGTGGCCTAGAGATCTGCTGAAAAGTTAAGAAGATATCAGGAATTCAAGAAGATATAATTAACGCCAACACATTTGTCCGATGCGTTCCAACGCAGTGGCAAATTTAAAATAACAAAAAAATATATATATTTAATAAAATTAAAATTAAGTCTTTGCAAGTAGATTATCATCAAGAGGTCCAAAACAAAAAGTCATGATTTACTTACATGAGATTATTTTTGAGTGTAAGTTTCTCAGGACGAAACCAAGAATGCGAAAAATAATGTCCTTATTTAGATCTGTCATCCCTTTTATGGAAACGGTATTGTTTTGGAAGATAGGGTATTTGTTCCGGAATTTATTTATTTGACTTGTATACCTTTACTTACTATTCTTTTTGAAATCTAAATACTTTTATATTTCTTGTTTTTCTTCCTAACACTACTGAATGTGAAGTCAATAGACACGAGGATGGGTAAATTTTATTTGTTAATATAAATAAGCTTTTTAATTGGAAATCTATGTTGGTTCGAAACTTTTCAATTTAGAAAAACAAAAAATCCACTGAACTATGCTTAAAATAACAATATTGTTTTGCACACTGATACATTTGTCTAATGGTCAGAATAAATTAATCTAAGTCTTTTATTGCAATTTATTGACAGTTTCAGGGAATCTTCGTCTCCCTCTTCAGCAATATCTTATTTTCTCGAGAAATTGGATAAGTTTAATACAATAAGATTGGTTCAATGGTAGTTTTGTGACTTACCCAATTTCTTTGGAGAATAAAATATTGCTGAAGAGGGGGACGAAGATTCCCTGAAACGTTCAATAAATTTCAATCAAAGACTTATTTGATTAATTTATTCTGACTAGTAGGTATATATGTATCAGTGTATCAGCGTTGCGCAGTAACCGAAGTATCAGATAGAAAAATAATTACGAATTCAAATCGCGGTGCATGGTGGGACTTTTAACTCGGCATAATTCCCCGACCTGGGGAGGCAAAAAATAAAAATGTGAAAAGAATAAAAGTCAAACCTGCATAATGAAAAATATTGTTTTTATCAAACAGATTTGACCGAATATTTTTTTGTATATAAAAAAAACAAAACATGCATTAGGTAAAATATTTATTTTAATACTAGCACTGGTACAAGTTCTATAGGGAGGAATTAGTCCGGCAAGTGGGCCACCATGAAATAAATATTAACTGACTCTGATGGGAATCGAACCCACAACGGTCAGAACTGGGAATTCTGGGACCCTCGTCTCAATCTAATCAGTCCGTCGCGTTCCATTTATTTTAATACTTCTTATACATATTAGTCATATATTTTATTATTACATTTAGCGGAATAGCTTCTTTTGTTTCACATTAAATAGTATGTGTTATGTTCCACATTTTACTCGAAGTTCTTTAATTAAAAACATAAATGCCTTTAGAATAAATTCCTACGGAGTTGATGTATTCTTCAATAAAGAAAAAGTCATAGAAGGACGAAAGTGGGTGGGCCAAACGCAGGGCTCCCATCCATATGTATGCTGCCCCGATACCCCCCCTCTCACACCCCTTCACTCGCTCCCCCTCCCCCCCCCCCCCCGAGAAAAATACTCAGAGAATAGCCAATTTCCCAACTGTATTCTAAAACTGTGAAACTCCACCGAATTTCACTAAATATATACTGCGAGAACTATTATTGCGTTCATTCATAGGTGAACTGCTATTGATAATGTTGTTTTTGGTATCTTAATGAAGTAATAATAAAAGCTTAAACACAAATAGAAACCTATAAAAACGCTATGCTCCAAACAACTAAATAATAAACTATCTTAAATAAATAAATATTAGCGTTGATGTTGAAGTTTTTAAAGTGACTGAATATTTTGTCTTTTTAGAAAAAAATAAATGGAAAAATCAATTATCATGATTTATTACAATTTATAATTTTCCCCTTTGATTAATTTACACATTTTTATATCTATCTATGTCATAAATATACATATAATAATAATTGAGATTGAGGATCGGGTACACGAAGCTTAGCACCAATAAGGTGTCGGTAACAATTTCATTGCCAAATTATAAAATATTTAATATAAATAGCGCGTCTAACCCAATTTAGCGGTATATGTAACGTTAAATAAATTTTGTACAGCATGTTCGTCATTGGGCTGTCAAGAAATAGGAGTAGAACTACACAAAGTAATCATAAAATATGTTACAAAAAAACATTAACTTTGTACAAGAATTAAAAACTGGATTTAAAAATTAATTTTACTACTTTAAGAACTTTAAAAAAAAGAATCATAGCGGGAATAATCATTTAAATTAATTATATAGTTTTTCTTTTTTATAGTTTAGTTATAGTTTTTCTCGTAATTTGATTAGACTTAACGCCCTTACGTACTCCAACCAAATAATTAATTGGTTATACGTAAGGTTGTTGTTGGAATTTATGAATAGGTGAATGTCAATAGATAGATTAATTATTATGAGTCTATTACAAGATTTTACTAAACGTTTCGTTCTAAATTATCCAAAATGACCAAATGAACATAGATTTATTCTCCTCCAATTACTTTTTAATATTTATAAAACTATCATAAATAGTAATATTTTTTAATCTAAAAATTTCATAACAACCCCATGGAAAACATAATTTATTCCAATAAAATATTTAAAAAACCCAAATATCCCAAATAAAATTGAATTGAGAATATTTTAAATATATAATAAATAAATATAAATTAAATATTTATTGCTTGGTTTGTAAATATTTCACTAGCATAGAGGTCTATTACTCAGAGAATGGCCGCCATAACATTCTTTTTTTTTTTTTTTTTGGTCCTCTTCCTAGCCTTTTCTTCTACGCGCGGTTTTTCCTGGCCAGGAGTGAGGGCGTGAGATTAATGCTAAAGTGTGTGATTGACGCAGAAAATTTCAAGTATCTATTGTGTACCATAACTAGAAAAAACGAAATTTAAGTTAAGATTAATGCGAGTTAGGGTTGAAGGTGGGAAATTCTTGTTATTTTTCTGTAAGAAAACTACTTAGCTCGCGCCTCCTGTTCGAAAGATATAATTTAGGATCTATAAAACTATTATCCTATAGAATCTATAAAATTATTATC